TTCTTCATACTTGATGCTGCCTGTAAAGGTATAGGCTTAGGGGTAGAGATGTTTAGGGGATTATTGGCAACAAAATATTTTTCCGAGTCATGTGATGAAGTGAATTTCTGATATACGTACATGGTGTTTTTGGTAATGTGCCCAATTTACGTGTAGACGGCTTTATATGATAAAAGTGAAGGTAAAAGTCAAGCAAAATACTGAAACGTTGTTGCTGACTGCAGCCAGGAAAAGGGCATTTTATTAAATTTTGGTTTATCAAATTAAAACTGCTAAGGATCATCCAATTTAAAGGCAATCAAAAGCTGCTCTCTTTCATAACTTACAGCTCTTCTAGAGAGAGGTTTCAACTCTTATTTGCACAGCAAGTATAAAGAGAGGTTCCCACCAAAATAATGAGTCATAAGAGGTGCAGGGGGGAAATGGGGGCTATCTAGTGATCTTTTTCTCAGAAACCAGTACGCCTCGAGAACAACTGATCACTCAAAGCTACAATAGATGGAGGAAACTTTGAATAACATTATTCCTGAACTCCAGTTTTATTTTTAAATAAGTTAAATAATGTATTTAAATAAATGGGATTGCTGTTTTTCTTCAAGAACACGAAGGTCCCTTGACAGCTGTCAGCATAACAAGAGATGGATTATATGTATTGGCAGGAACAAACACAGTAAGTTAAAGGACTACTGCTGTAAATTTGACAAATGTGTTCATTCGGTGATGTAGCTGATATCGAAAACTGTAAACAATGGTTGCTATGGGTGTTGCTATGTTGAAATATAGTTGGAAGTGTTCAGATTTCTTAATTTAAACGTAAATTCAGGAGTAATTAGAGAAAAATCYTTTCAAAATACGATTTACAAATGGACTGGGATGTTGAATCTTCATGTTCCAAAAAAATGGTTTTTTGAAGAAAAATTTATATCTGAGAGTACAAGACCCCCTTAAGTTAGTAAGGTGGGACTTAACCTTAAAACACACCATGTTTCAAACATTTTCTCGTGGCTAAGAGCTAGCGTCAGACCATGGCAAGATGAGATCGAAATATCATAACAAGAAGAAAAGTGGACTGCAAGGCTAAGATAACAAGTAGTAACAAGTGATCTGAACTTAACTGGTATTATTAATTTTCTCAAGCTCTCTAACTGGTTAGAAAAAAGTCATGTGACATGTGACCATAGTGTCTTGCTGCTATCCTAGTCCCTTCCTGCCCAAAATTGCTGTATGTTACTTCTCTGTCCTTAAAACAGAACAAAC